TCAGAGTGATAATTATGAGGCAGTCAGGAATAAAATATAATAAAGCAAAGCAAGCACACAGAGCTCCAGAAAATGAGGGTGGAATGGCGGCATCTTCTCCCATGATGAGGCCTTGCAAACAACGTCCCATGATGAGACCCTGCAAACATCGCGTCATGTTAAAAGATCTTTGTCAAACTTTAGTCTCTTGGATACGATGCGCCCCCGCATGTAGCTCCACTTGTTTATTTTTACTGTTCTTGCCTGTGCTTTTAGTGTTATATCTAAAAAATTGCAATCAAGACTAATGTCAAGAAGTTTTTTTTCTGTGTTTTTTCTACAAGTTTTATAGTTTCAAGTCTTATTTTTAAGTTAATTTTATTTTGAGTGGGGTTTTGTTGTTGTTGTTGTTGTTGTTTGTTTGGTATATGATGTAAGATAAGAGTCCAACTTCATTCTTTTTCGTGTGAATAACCGGTTTCCCCAACACCATTTATTAAAGTGACTACTTTCTTCAACTTCTGTATTCTTAACCCTATAATATTTTTAAAACATCTTTTCATTCTTTTTTTCCTTTCTGTCTTCTTACTGAGTAATTACAAATAACCTGTCTTCATGTTCACTGATTCTTTTTTCTGCTTGATCAAGTCTGATGTTGAAGATCTCTTAAAATTTTCAGTTCAGTTACGATCTTCACCTCCAGAATTTCTGTTTGGTTCTTGTTTATGGTTTCTGTATGTTACTTAAATTTAAAATTTTGTTCATAAATTGTTGTTTTGATTATATTGAGTTATCTGCATTCTCTTGTACCTAATTACCCTTCTTTAAGACAGTTATTTTGAAATCTTTGGCAATACATAAAACTCCATTTCTTTGGGGTCAGCAACTAAAATGTTACTTACTTATTTATTTTGGTGCTGTTATGTTTCCTTAAATCCCTCATATCCATGAAGTCTTGTATTTCTGCCTTCACATTTGAAGAAGCCATCTCCTCCTTCAGGTTTTACTGATTGGCTTAAGGAGAGAAAGACCTTCACCAGTCAGCCCAGCTAGGAATCTGAGGTATATCTCAGGCATTTTCTGGGGATACTCTGCCCCATTCCTCTTGTTCCCTTTGTGTAGGGGGATGTCTTACGATGGTGTCCCTTCTCTTAACCTGCAAAGTCAGGTCAGGTTTTGAGAACCTCCTGGTTTTGTTCCCCTTAGAGTGATCCCTCAAAGTATTCAAGGTTGCGTGCTCTCTTCCAGTCCCACAGAATTAAGCTGGTTTCTGATATTCACATTCTGTCTGAGGGGGTTGCAAGTGCCTTCTGTGTTGGCTCATGCTTGCTATCTTGAAGGTGTGTGCAGGCTGATGGAGACACACATCAGCCAGTCATGGTACTGCAAGTGAGGTATCCAATGGGTTCATGAATGGATCTCTTGGTACATTCTATGGGTCAATCAGTAGGATAAACAGCCTTGTTTTGAGTTCTGTGTGGTGCCTGCCGTGAGCTCCTTCATCATCCCCTTCTCTGGCTCCCTCCCAAACTATTCAGCTGTGCCAATGCCCACAGTGATCAGAGTGGGAAGAGGTTAAAGTGGGCCTTTGGGGCATTATACATTGAGGCTGGGAAGGCCAGGGCTCACTCCTGTTGCACTTTCTTGTCTGAGAGAAACTGAAGGCTTTGGGGCTCTCCTGGCACTAAGCAGTGCTGCCTTGAGAGAAGGCTGATGGGAGTAAATTCAATCTGTTACTTTTACCATCTTCAATCATTTACTGTCTAGTGTTTTGCTTGAACGGGTGCTGGAGTCTCCTCCTGGGAGGTTTGGATTCTCACAATGTGTTTCCGTTCATAGATGGCGGTTATGTTTTATGCTTCTGTGAGAGTATGAAGGCCAATTTCACCTATTCCACCATCCTGATGACATCACTCCTTCTGCTTGGGGTTTTAATTGTAAATTTTTTATTAGAAAATATTTAAAATATTTTTAAACTGATATAAATTCAAAGGAATGTGTATTAGTCGATTTTGTGTTGCTATAACAGAATACCAGAAACTGTAATTTATAAAGAACAGAGGTTTATTTGACTTACGACTCAGAGACAGCTGCCTCTGGCACAGGCCACAGGATGCATCTACTAATGGCAGAAAGTGGCAGCAACTGGGAGTACAAGCAGATGACACGGCGAAAGGACACAAGACAGAGAGTGAGAGGGGAGAAGCAGGGTCTTTTAAACAACCAGCTCTCACAGAAACTAATGGAGCAAGATCTCATTTAGACCCCTGCACCTTAGGGAGAGCATTAATCCATTCATGAGGATCCACCCTCATGAACCAGCTTCCAACACTGCCATATTCGGGATCAGATGTCCACATGAGTTTTGGTGGGGGAAACAAAACCAAACTCTATCATTCTGCCGCTGGACCCCCAAAACTCATGTCATTCTCACATACAAAATACAGTCATTCCATGCCCACAGTCCCAAAAGGCTTAGCTTGTTCCAGCACCAACTTAAAAGTTCAAAGTCTCATCTGAGACAAAAGGCAAAAGTCCTCCCAGCTGCAAACCTGTAAAAATCAAAACCAAATTTATCAACTGCTAAGATACAACGGCAAAACAGACATTGGGTACACATTACCCTTCCAAAGGGGAGTAATAGACCAGAAGAAAGGAGAAACATGTCCCAAACAAGTCCAAATCCGAGCAGCGCAGACATTATGTCTTGAAGCTCCCAAATAATCTTCTTTGATTCCAAGACCTGCTTCCTGGGCACAATTGGGCATCTGGGCCCACAAAGCCTCAGGCAGCTTCACTTCCACAGCTCTGCCACACACAGCCCACTGGGCTGCTTTGGTGCCTGCAGCTTTTCCAGGCCTGCGTTGCATGCTGGCAGTGGCCCTACAGTTCTGGGGTCCTGGCAGCTGCCCCACTGCCTTGGCTCTATTAGACATTTCCGTGGTAGGAGATCTCTGTGGGGGCTCTGACCCCACCTACTTGCTCAGCATTGCTCTCATAGATGGCCTCTGTAGCGGCTCCACCCATGAGGCAGCTCTTTGCCTGGGCCACCAGGCTGTTCCATATATCCTTTGAAATCAGGGTGGAGGCTGCCACACCTCCACTGCTCTCATTCTGCTGGCCTGCAGACTTAATACCAAATGGACCCTGCCAAGGCTTCCAGCTTTGCTCTCCAGAGCTGCTAAATGAACCACACTTGTGGCCACTTGAGGTAGGGCTGCTCCATCCAGAGGAGGTGGGATGCAGGGAGAAGTGCACCCCAGGTCTATCCTCTCAGACAACTCAGTCCTTCTCGGCCTCAGGATCTCTGATGGGAGGGGTCTGACCTTCCAGACTTGAGAGAAGGTTGATGCTGTCAGGGCCTTTCTCCCATTGTCTTGGCTATTAGCAACTGGCTGCCTCATCATCAAGATAATGTCTTTAGCAACCAGTTTATCTGCTTCACTCTTGCATTTTTCTCCTAGTCTCTGCTTCTCTACCACATGACCACACTACAAACTTTCTAAATCTTTACGTTCCGCTTCCTTTTTAAATCCTGGCTGTACATCATGCCCTTTGTGCCATATCTCAGAGTAGGCTCTTAAAAGTAACCGAGCACCTTCCTTAATGCTTTGCTGCTTGGAAATTTTCTCTGCCAAACATTCTGTTACACAAGTCCTAATCCCACTTTCCACAAAGTCCTAGGCCATGGACACAATGCAGCCACGATCCTTGCTATGGTGTAGCAAGGGTTGTCTTTTGTCCAATTCCTATGAGGTTCCTCATTTCTGTCTGAGACCTCATCATCTGCATGGTCTTTACTATCCACGTTTCTTTCAACATTCTGGTCACAACCATTTAACCATTTCACTCTAAAATGTTCCAAGCATGCTCTCATCTTCTTGTCTTCTAAACTGTCCTCCAAACTTCTCCAAACTTTGCCCATTGCCCAGCTCCAAAGCTGCCTCCATTTTTTCAGGTATCTGTATAACAACACCCCACTGCTCAGTCTCAATTTTCTGTATTAGTCCATTTTCTGTTGCTATAACAGAAATACCTGAGACTGGGTAATTTATAAAGAACAGAGGTTTTATTTGACTTACAACTCTGGGACAGCTGCATCTGGCAGGGGCCTCAGGCTGTTTCTACTCATGGTGAAAGTGACAGGTACAAGCAGATCACATGGTGAGAGGAAGCAAGAGGGGGGAGGCGCCAGGGTTTTTAAACAACCAGCTCTCACAGAAACTAATGGAGCGAGATCTCACTCAGGCCCCTGACCCCCAGGGAGAACATTAATCCATTCATGACAGATCTGCCCCCATGAATCAGCTTCCAACTCCCACATTGGGGATCAACTGCTACATTGGGTATCAGATTTATACATGAGATTTGGCGGGGACAACACGTCCCAATTCTATCAGCATGGTCATGCAATTTTTTTTTTTTTTGAAATCACAACTGATACAGAATGACTCATTTGCTTGGGCCTTGAATTTGACAGTAGCAGTTCTTCCCCTATGGCTGTATCATCATCTGGATCTACCCATTTTTATATTCATCATTGACCAACAAGAGTTTGGCAGTCATTCATGTTTACTGATTCTGAACTAAGTGTATCAATTATCCAAGTCTGTCCATCGTTTGCCATTCTTAGGTAGAAAACTTCTAGAAAAGAAGAAAAAGTTTCTTGTGGAATAGTGCATGCAAAAAAGAGATGTTGATCTTTAACTTATTTCTACTTTTTCAATGTGGTGATTTAGGGTTTTACCATAAACCAAATGGGGGGTGTTTTTGTTTTAATTTGGCTATATTAGTATTAAAAATACAGGGTTTGCAAATATTTATTTGTTTTAATCTATGACAAATGTGAACAGATTGCAGGAGCACACATGGAGATTTCAATAATAGAGGGGAGCCCCCACCCAGATGATGGCAGAAGCTCATGGAAACTTCAGTTGCTGCGGTCAGTCCCAGCAGACAGACAGCAAGAGTGTGAGAAAACTCAGGAGCCAAGGGCAGCCTCTGTGTGGGTGATCTGCCACAGACATAGCCACTGCAGCAGCCAATGCCACTGTGCAGGTGGCACACTAACCACTCAACTACTTTGATAGAAGGTGAGTCACCAGCAAAACCTGGGGAAAGAGGTGAGTGAGGGCAGACCCATGACTCAATGGCCCAACCCACAGGGGAAATTACACTGCCACATGGAGTAGCACACCTGAGGTTGTGAGGTACTTGCACAGCCCACACAATAGCCTTGATCTAGTGGAGACACATGCAGATCCCTGCCGAGACTGCAGAAACACAGGACACCAAAATAGAGTAAGGAAGAATATTCCCAGTTGCCACCAAACTATCTCCCAATTGGTGAAAGCAAGGACTGAGGAGGAGCCTCTGCCTGTAAGAAAGAGAAAAAGTAATCCCTAGCCAGGGTTATCCATTTAAACTGGAGAGCTCTAGTACACCCCACAACACCTATCAAGACCATGGGATGCTAGTTAAGATGTGAACAAGCCTGCCCAGTGTCAATCACCCCAGTGACAGAGCAACAGGGCACCCAGACACTTCTCCCAAGAACTCAAGAGCTTGCCCACATCCTCAACAAACCAACACAGTGTCACTAATGTCAGGAAGGAATCACTATGTGCCCCAGTACTTAGGCCATGGAAACACTCACATGCAACTTTAACACTGAATAGAGGTTAAGGAACTCATGGAGACTACACAACTGCATCTACCTGGAATCAATACTGAAACACCATACTTAACAGTCAATATAAAACACATCTACAGGAGGACACACATCTCTCTTCTCAAAGTACCCTCCAGATTAATAGAAGAAGTGCTCTACCAAATAACCAACAACCAACATAGACATACTAGAAATATGGGTGTGTGTGGGGGGGGAAGAAAATATAACATTACCAAAGGAATAAAGTAATTCTCAAGTACAAGATCCCATCGAGCAAGAAACCACTGAAATGAATGCAAAGGAATTCCAAGCAAAAATCCTAAGGAAACTCAATGAGATACAAGAAGACTCAGTTAGACAATAAAATGAAATGAGAAAAAGGATCTACAATATGATGGAGGAAATTTACGAAGAGATCAATATCTTAAAAAGGAATGTAGCAGAACTCACAAACCTGCAGGATTCATTCAATAAAAGAACCAACACAACTGAAATCTTAAACAGCAGGTATGAGCAAGAAGAAGAAAGGATTTCTGATCTTAAAGAAGGTCTTCAAAATAAACCATGGAGAATAAACAAAGAATAAAAAAATTTTTAATGAAGAAAGCCTAAGCAAGCTAGCAGATAACCTCAAGTGAACAAACATCTGAATCATGGGTGTTCCAGAAGGGGAGGAAAAAGGAAAAGGCGTCAAAAACCTATTCAGTGAAATAATAACAGAAAATAGTCCAAGTACAGTTAGAGAGGTGAACCCTCAGATATAAAGACCCTCAAACAGATTCAATCCAAAAAGCTCCTCTATGACACACATTATAGTCAAACTGGCAAAATTCAAAAACAAAGAGAATCTTAAGAACAGTAAGAGAAAAATATCAAGTCACCTATAATGGAGTCCTCATCAGACTAAAGCAGAATTTTCAACAGAAACCCTACATGCCAAAAGAGAATGGGATGACATATTCAAAATTCTCAAAGAAAAAATAAATTCCAGCCAGGAATACTATACCCAGCTAGGCTATCCTTAAGAAATAAAGGAGAAATAGTGTATTTTGCAGACAAACAAAAAATGGGAATTACCCACCAAATGACCAGTGCTTTAAGAAATCCTCAAAGGAGTACTGCATCTGGAATCCAGAAAATGATAATCAGTACCATGAATAAACAAGAAAGAACAAAACCACTGGTAGAACAAAAATGCAAATAAAAAAGAGAAAGAACCTATATCCAACCGCCTTAAAAAAAAAAAAGGCACCAACAAACACCATAGACAAATAATAAAAGTGGAAGAAAGGAATAAAAGATATTTCAAACATCCAAATGAAAATCAATGAAATGCTTGAAGTAAAACAACACCTTTCAATAATTATCCTAAATGTAAATGAACTAAATATCTATGGAACATTTCATCCAACAACCACAGAATATACATTCTTCTCATCAGCATGCAGAACATTCTCCAGGATAAATCACATGTTAGGTCACAAAGAAAGTCTCAACAAATTTTTTAAAATTGAAATCATTTCAAGTGTCTTTTCAGACCA